TAGATAAATGACGGATGATCTGCAATGTTTGCTGGTTTATTGCAAGCATTTACCAAGCAAAGCTTTGCTGGTAACATCATAGCCTCCTGTTGGAAAGCCCTGGTTTTCACTTTTTAAAATATGGTGGCTGTGCTGAATAACAGATTGCTGCCCGTAGGGGAGGGAGCCCTTGGTGAGAGGTCGCACAACAGTGGGTAAAACTTCTCAGGCTGCTGTTAGAATTATTAAGCAGTGATGTGGAATCGCACCCTTTGACAGGGGTGCTTAGCCCTTGTCCTCTCTGCTGAGTGCTACAGAGTTTGACTCTGTGACTTCAGCAGGTGTTGGGTGAGTTCAGTTCACCTTCCAGGAAGGAAATTCATTTTGTGGTTATCAATAGGTGATGAGTAGCATGTACTGAATTAAATATGGGTCTGATCTAGATTTTTGTTATGTATTACGTATAACTTTGTGAACAGTTCACTTAACATTCCCTAATTCTGCAAGACCAGATCATAGACTTCATATTTTGGTGCTATTGAATTCGTCCCAAAATGGATTATGTGAGAAAGATTTTTTCTTTTGAGGGTTGGTTGAGTTACTTGAGCAAAGCAAAATTGAATTTAACTACTCTTGCCACATTTAATAGATATTGGTGAAATATTTTGGTCTTTATCCTAAATTGTTGCTTTAAAATTTTCTTCTATTTTTCTCCCATAATACGTTTATTGGTAATTTTTATGCAGTGAGTGTTAGTGTTCAATATATCTAAAATGCTGCTGGATCTACTTATTTGACAATAGTATTCTATCTATGCTCCCCATTTGCTGAAGGTACATCTCCACTGTAGAAATAAAACCGGGCAATGTAGCACTGAGAGGACTTGTCAGAATAGAGATAATTTAAGTTCTTTTAATAATTACTGTGGGGGGAAAAATGACCAAAAGACACGCCAGAGCATATATTAGCTATATCAGCTTGTGAAATGCCACTTTCTTTCTGGGCTCTGTGCAAATGCACATGGTAATCTGGAGCTTTTCTGGTGGCCTTTCCCCATCTCCTTGCCTACCTCTTATTACTGCTCACATCCTCAATTATTTTTACCAGTGACCTTTCCCCAGCAGGCTCCAGTCGAAAAGCCTGGCATCATTGCAATCATAGCATTAGTAATTGCATAACTTAATAGTATTTCCACCAAAGCAGTTCCTTTTTCTAGTGTTGGATGGGCTGAGGCTGAATTGCATGCAAGGAATAAGACATAATCTTCCCTCTTACCACCACCTCCACTCTTGAGTATAGAAAGAACCCACTAGCCCCCTTATATAAGTGGTCTCATATGTCCCAGCATACAGGTCTGCATCATTTTTGCACTAATTAGGGATAGCTATTATTGCTTCTTTATTGTTATTCATTAATACATGTTGAAAGGAGACTGATATGTACAAGGAGGTAACTAAAACTTCAAGGGCAAATCTTGGCTATAAACTCTTAAACTTTTGTACTTGCATTTTTCTTTTTTTAAAATAAAGTCCTTATATTTCATGGTGAATTATTCTGGATCATATTTCAACCTACAGAATTTGTGTGTATGAAAAATTAATTTTAAAAAATGCAGTAATTCAAAGATAAAGTGTTAAGAGCATATGTTAACACATATAGGATATCTTTCCTTACTTTGGAAACTTTTCAGGTAAGAGATTGCATAGTCTTCCATTTACCCATTCCAGAGGTTTCTTGTCATCTCTATGACTGCTAAATAAGGCCTAGATTCCTCCCCAGGGATCAGTGCATCACTGTTTCAGGCACTGTACGCACAAATAATTTAAAGAAAAAGAAAATCTCTGTTCTCCAGAGCTACATGAAAGGTGGGATAAGGGAAAAAAGGTCAAAGCTCAGTACTTACTCTTTTAAAATATATTTTTATCACTTTCTTACCTCAGAGAAAGAGCTCCTTCAGTATCACATGCTCCTTTATCTTTACTTTTCACTAGAACAACTTACTTTTGTTTTATAATTAAACTAATATTTTAAGCAGCTGTTGAAAAACCACCACAGACTCTGATATCTGATGAAATCACTTTCTCCTCTGAGAATATTTTGGATACCCAAGGAATTCCAGAAGAAAGGAAAGAAAATGTGTTAAACCTCAAGAAAAGTGCAGAAGCTTTGGAGCAGAGGGGAGACAAATTCTACCTCTCTCCTTCTATGTCTTCATGTCAGGGTGTCCACCAGAAGGGAGGTAGATCGAGTTTAAGGGTGTCAGAAGGAAGGATGAAGGATGTTGTGGGCACCTATTGAAACGTCTGTGAATGGAGAACCAGAAATTCCCAGCAATTCAAATGATGAAGTGTCGATACAGAGATTTCTTTTTAAGGGCTGTATGGAGAACATAGACCATGAAGCCTCTTCTTCCTCTCCTATTTTTGTTTTCCACTGGGTTTGGGGGGATTACATTAACTGTTTATGAATTTGGAATATAACTGGTAGAGAGACTGTTTGCTAGAAAAATAAATGTAATTTTGATCCTCTAAGGCATGAACCGAATTAAGTGCCTGTTGGAGACAATGCCTCTTCATTCTTCAGTGGTGACTTATTGCTGTCATTAGTGTTAGTAGGTAGATGATATTTAAAATGAAATATGATGCTTCTGAATGTCACAGCAAATAACAATAAAAGATAAATTAGCAGTTAAATTAGCATATTGACTAGTGGATGAAGCATGCATAACAGTCAACTCTGGGAATAAACTGCTTGAAATAAAATATTTTTCAAAGAGCTTTTGATGTTTCTGTAACGTATTTTTAGAGCAATCATAGATGAGTATAGTTTGCCATGCACCAGCTTTATTAACTTGCTCTCTAAGACATAAGCTTGCAGGGCTAATTACATTAGATGCCTTGTAATCAGCATTTAATAGTCAAATATGATTAAAAGAGGAAACTAAAGCATGATAAAATCAGTTTGCTTTGTGCTTTTCATGGAAAATATGATAGGTGTTAATGCAAAATAGATCAGTCAAAAATGGAGTGCATTTGAGTTCATCTCAAATCTGCATCTTCATACACTTGAGCATATAAGTATATTATAAGAAGGTCTTTCTCCTGGTTGCATGGTCCTCAGATGCCTGCCGCCTTCATTAGAGGCTCTCAGGAGTTTTAATATCATTTGAGTCTGGGTGAACTGGTTACTGTTTTCTTCTGTGAGTCCCCTGGAAAAATTGCTGGTTGCAGCCTCTTGTCTGATGCAGCAGGTTTTGTAGAACCAGCAGTGCTGCTGCCACAGACTGGGAACTCGGTTGCAAATCTCCATCTTCTCTTTGGGTTCACCTTTGGGAGTCCTGCAAATGATTTCACCATTTCAGGCTTCCTGTTCAACCACAGTGATCTCACAAAAACAAGGCAGACAGATTTAACCAGGGATTTTTCTAACTGTAAAAACATTCCTTTTAGAATGGAGGGCAATTTCAAGTCTTTGAAAACAGAAATACTGAAGCATACCTTTCATTTTCCTGAATTACATTAGCATTTGAAGTCTTTTACATTCCTTTTTCTGGGTATGTCTAATGGTGTGTGTTTTACTTGTTTATTTTTTATAAAAGCTGCTCTTGTGCAGAGTACATAACCTGGTGAGTTTCCACCACTGCCCGCATCCCTCCTGCTTTACCTTCTTTATCAGTCCATATAGCGTAAAGGCATCTTTGTGTTTTGCTGGGCTGGCCCCACGGCTGCAATCAGAGCTCTTCAGCGAGCTTTTGGATGCGTTTTCAGGTCAAGCAACTGTTACGGTAGACTTGTCTGGAACAAAATTTTCCACATCTCAAATATGTTATACAGCAGAGTTTGTGTTTTATTATAGATGCTCTGCTTGCAGAAGCCATTCCAGTTTTGAAATTTGAAACCTTTTCTGCCTTTCAGAGGCTACCAAACTCCATCCACTACTTACTGATCCATGAGTGAGAGAACATGGATTCAAGCATTCTCTTATGTGCTTAGTTCAGACCTAACGCTGTGCTAATAAATCCTGCTGAAAGACACAGTCTATTAGCTCAGGCTGAATGATGTGCTGATGTGGTTGCCTGCTGCAAGGCTAGGCAAGCACATGTAAGTCGTTCCGTACGGCTGGACTTATCTTTAGGCAGGGTGAGGACTCAGGAAATTCATAGACACAGAATCTTAAGGCTTTCAGGTTTTTGATAAGACTGCTTAATTCATTTGTCGCTCTTTGATGAGTTGAGATACTTGTACTCTCCACTTCAGTGGAGATAAGCACAGCTGGGGAGAGGCAATTGACTTCTGGGTTTAGATGTCGTGAAGCTCCTGGCTACTATTGATACAGGGCATGAAGCTGCTCAAGTCCACTTAATTTCTTTAATTCCCTTTGCCCATGTACAGATTTACCTGAGAATTGCCATTCTCAGAGAAATATTAGAGAAATATTCACTGTTTGTAAAATTGTGTTTCCTATGTGAGTCTCTATTTTAAAAATACTTCCTTATTGCTTGGAATCATACAGTCCTAGTTCTTTATCTGTCCAAAAATGAAATAAAGATATTACTGGTTGGAATAGCACAGTATATATCCCCGAATATAGCATGAGGCTCCCATGCTGTTTCTGTACTTGGTCTCTTCTCAGCAGAAGTGGCTTGAAGAAATTCCTAGCTTCTTGGTATTTATTTTTGTAGTGCTTTGCAGCATTATTGTGCTGCTGCACAACAGTGCATTCTAAAAGAACATAAAGTTCCTCAAATTACCAATGGAGGGAGAAGCACTGAGAAAAGAGATCGATCCCCCAAGGCAGGAAAATAGTGGGGGGAAAAAAGTGTCAGGGGTTATTCTGGACACAAGTGGTGCTTATTGGAGTGTTTCCATGATCTTGACTTTCTGTACTGTTCATTTAAAAGCCTAAGGTCAACCAAATGTCTGGCTCTTGCTGAGGATTTAATAGCCCCAGAGGTCTTCAGGCTGTACCAATTATCCACAGTTTGAAACCTGTCTTAATTTTATCTTTCTGTTGTATTTTTAGGCTGCCTGTTTGAAGATGACCTTTGCAAATCTTTTGAAGTTTGTGTAAATGGTAAGTCTTGCATGTTTTGCTTGCTGGCTGCTCAGTACTCTGCTGTGTAATTGCTATGTAATCCGTTTAATGTGGTAAATCTGTATGTGAGTTTTTGGTTTTTTTTTTAAGGTAGGAATGTCTTTTGATTAGCAATTAGGAAATTAACTTTTGATTTTGCTCAATCTCAAAGAGTGTCTTCTCTTCTAAAAAATAAACTGAAATAAAATTAAACACAATGAAATATGTTAACATTACGGGGTTAAATAGTACAGGATGAAAATAACTGTTATATTCAGGTTTTTCACCCTTTAGAGGATGATATAGAGTAATTTCTAGTCACTTTTTCTATAGATGATACTTTATTTATTATAATAGTAAAGAGTATGATTGTTCTTGATTTTTTGCTGCTTTTTTTTTTTTTGTCCTGTATCCACCAACTTCAACTCTACAGATGCAGCTTTCTTCTGCATTGTGCTCTCCATCACAATTTCCTTTCAGCAGGTCAAAAAACCCAACACAAATGTATGAGTTTGTCCAATGGGACAGGAGGCTTTTCTGGTGATATTCTAAGATTCTTATCAACCTAGGTAAAATCATTTTAACCCTGATGAAGGATCGTGTTATAGAGAGACCTTAAGCACTTACTGTAGCAAAATATAATCAAAACTTTGGGCTTTTTTTTTCTAAGTAAGAGAGTTTAATAAGACATTTATATTTGAATTTCTGGAATAAAGAAGCTTTTTCATCATAGTAATCAATAATATATGTCTATGTAATAAAGTACAGTTTTAAACCCTATATCAACAAATGTGTTTAAGTTTTCAGCACAGTCAATGCTTAGTCAGATACATAGGGGAGGAAACTGGAGAGAAATATGGCAGAGGAATTAAGGAGAATGTTAGAAACATCTGTTAACATCTCTCAAGGTAATTCTTGTGTAAAATGTTGCTCCAATGGTATGCCAAAAGTCTGTATTGAGGATTTCTATGCATGACCCAGAAAGGGTTGTGGATAGTTTCTATGACAGTGCATTTTGCTGTCTAGCAATGATTACCAGTGTGTAGTTGTAGTCTTCCCAATGCAAATAGGTTTTATCGTAGCCACTCTTATATCTCACAAGCAGTATATAGTTTATGAAACGGATAATATTAGAGAAATATAGTACCATAACTAACAGTAAAAATCTTCAATACAGATGATCTTGTAAAGGTGTAGATGTGGTTGCTAAAAATTCAACATGACTTTCATTAGCACGCAAACTTAAACTATGGAGTTGAGTCTGTGAAGTTAGGGGCCTCCTTTTTAGGTCTGCTCTTATTTTTGCTCAATTGTAAATTAAAGAAAGGTCATTAATGAATAAGCCAGTTGATCAGTGATATTTCCTAATGGCTAATTTTAATATTAAAAAATTTTCTGCCTGTGTAATGTCCCGTAAAGGATTTTTTTTTCTGTAACTGAGTAAATGTTGCTTATAGTGGATTTTCAGTTAGGTCCTTGATGCAAATATAAATGCCTCATTTTTGAGAAATTAATAGAATCTTTGCAAGATCCTACTTTGAAGTTCTTAAATATTTTCAGTATTTACTCTTCATATGTAACAGAAGACATGAGGACTGCTTGCTCCTAAGCATTCATTCCCATTGTACTTGTCTAAACTGCTATTTACTCAAATGTATCTCTAAAATCCTTCAGAAATTCCTCATCTGTGTAAAATGCAAGCGCTTTTCTGAATTGAATGCTCAGAAACTTAATCTGTGGAAGACACTATACCTGTTTCGTCATCATATGAGTGTGTAATTTCTAAAGGATAGTGTGATTGCAGGTAACAAACAGCAGCTACTAACATCTTTAAGGCATCTGTGATCTGCAGGTCTCACTCTTTCAAACTTCTGCAGGAAGGCTGATAATTTTGGCCTTCCTCTCTGCCTCCAGCAAAGGTACTTGAAGGGAGTGATTTTTCAAAAACAAAACCAAGTTTAAGTTTTGAAAACATCAGTCTCACTCTTAGCTGTCATCTCACCTAATGTGATCAACTGGAGACTGTCATGAACTGAATGATGCCCCAAACTGAGGTGTTCTGAGCCATTTGACAGCTTGAAAATAATTACAAAGAAAAATTCTTTTTAAGAAGAAATTTTTATTGACTGAAATGATATTCATTTGTGTGAATAAAAAAGGATGTGTGTATATATAAATATATGTATTGTATGCATGTTTATATATGTATTTAATACATAAATATATATAAAGATTTCTTTTATCATCCAAAATGAATCAAAAGCAATGTAATCTGGTTGCAAAATCTGATATAAACACCATAGCTGTGTCCAGTGCTCACCACTTTAGGTCATATGCCATTTTTGTAGGGCAGAGAACCTGTTGTAACATTCACTGTTGACTCTGCTGCTGTTTTATTTTATCATATGAAAATCTCTTTTGGCTTCAGTGCTGAGTTCTCATTTATGTTTGTTTAATAGCTCCAGCAACATTCATGCAATATTAATTTCTTTCCATAAACCTTTTATCAGTTTCCTGAACTGCACTGACTCATCAAGTGGTTAAAAAGGAACATATTGTTTCATGTTTATTTTAATGGCATGAGGATAAGCCAGACAAAAAGACTGCGTGGGCTTTCCTGAATTTTTCCATTACAAAACTAGAACTGGTTTGGCGGGGGGTCAAAGTGGATTAGGTGTCATTTGACATAATTTGTCACTCATTACCCTCTGCAGTTGGAGAAATTGAAAAACTGCCTAAAGTGACTAAAGCTTGGAAACTTGAAGATGAAAAGCTTGGTGTGAAAGGTAGACATGCTTATCAGATACGGACACTGATAGAAAATTATATGGCACTCTAGAAGCTTGGAATGGTTTGCTCTCCAGCAAATATGGATAAGCTACTCCAGATGCTAGCCAAAGGAAGCAAGTAACCACATATGTCAATTAAACAAGATATAAGGAGAAAAAAAAGTAATATTGGGAGCTGGATGAGGGTATGTCCTCATACCCTACCCATACAGCAATGGGTAAAGAGAGACAGGGCATTCACACTTACTTGCTGCCTGAGTTAGAAGCTGAAAGAAATGAGTTAGCCCATGTTTTTCCTTACAGTTATCTTTTGAATGAAAAAAAATGAAAAAGAAGCAGCAGGAAATATTTTCATATAACCCATTCACTTATTCTTCAATTCACTTATTCTTAAAGCATTCACTTATACTCCTTTATTTATTAAACCTAGTTTTTGGAACTATGTCATGCTCTGTTTTGTATTTTAAGTAACAAAGCAATTCAGGTAAAGCATTAGCTTGCATAGCTTCCTAGTTGGCAGGTTTAAGCAAAAGTTGGCCTGCTGAAAGCAGCAAGGGAAACAAAGTTCTGATCTTTTCTTTGGAAACTGTAGTATTAAATTCTGGTAAATGGCACTGGGATCTTAAGACATCACGTAGTGGGAGGAAAGGAAAGGAATTTACTTCAAAATAACCATCCCTAATTGTCCTGTTTCTTCCAATTATTTAACTGTTTTCAGTACTCATTTAGAAGGATGGAAGTTTTTCCTTTAAATTCAATCTCCAGATAGCTAATCTCAGAAACTGTTTTATTTATTTTTTTAATCCCTGCATGGATACCATGGTGCTTTTGCTCCTTGTCACAGAATAACAGAATGGTTGAAGTTTGAAGGGACCTCTAGATTAGACCTCTAATTCATCCCCCTGCTCCAACAGGGACACCCAGAGCACAGGGCAGATTTTGAAGATCTCCAGAGAAGGAGACTCCACAACCTCCCTGGGCAGCCTGTTCCTTTGTCACCCTCACAGGGCAGAAGTTCTTCTTCATATGGAGATGGAACTTCCTGTGTTTCAGCTTGTACCCATTACCTCTTGTTCTATCACTGGCCACCACTGTTGAGCTTGGTCCCTTCCTCCCTACATTCTCCCCTCAGGTACTTAAACATATTGATCAGATCTCCTCATAGTCTTCTCTTCTCCAGGCTAAAGAGGCTCAACTCCCTTAGTCTTTCCTCTTAGGGTAGATGCTCCAGTCCCTTACTCATCTTTATCTGTCTCCGCTGGTCCCTCTCTAGACGCTCCACATCCCTCTTGTCCTGGGGAGCCCAGAACTGCCCCCAATACTCGAGGTGTGGCCTCACCAGAGCTGAGGAGAGGGGCAGGATCCCCTCCCTTGACCTGCTGGCAACACTCCTGATGCAGCCAGGATGCCATTGGCCTTCTTGGCCACGAGGGCACTGCTGCCTCCTGGTTAACTTGGTGTCAACCAGGCCTCCCATGTCCCTCTCTATGGAGCTGCTCTCCAGCAGGTCAACCCCTAATCTGTACTGATGCCTGGGGTTATTCCTCCCCAGGTGCAGGACCCTGCACTTGTCCTTGTTGAACCTCATGAGGTTCCTCTTGGCCCAGCTCTCTCTGGAGGGTCCAGGACTCTCTGAATGGCAGCACAGCTCTCTGGAGTGTCGGCCACTCCACCCAGTTTGGTATCGTCAACAGACTTTTCTCAGGGTGCACTCCATGCCCTCGTCCAAGTCACCGATGAACAGATTGAACAGCACCGGGCACAGTACCGATACCTGGGGGACACCACTGGCCGCAGGCCTCCAATTAGACTCGTCCCCATTTACCACTGCCCTCTGAGCTCTGCCATCCAGCCAGTTCTCAATCCACCTCACTGTGCACTCGTCCAGTGCACGGAGCTTCCCCATGAGGATGTTATGGGAGACGGTATCGAAAGCCTTGCTGAAGTCTAGGTGGACAACATCCAATCATCCAGCCAGTCATCCCATCGTAGAAGGCTATTGGTTCATCAAACGTGACTTCGCTTGGTGAACCCATGCTGACTACTCTTGATCAGCTTCTTTTCCTTCACATGCCTAGAGATGGTCTCTAGGATGAGCTGCTTCATCACCATTAATCTAATCTTGTTAATTTCGCTAATCATCTTGCTAACTCTAGTTCCAGACTAACGAGGAGGGCCTTGGCCTTCCTCACTGCATCTTTGCACTCTCTG